CCTGATACATGTCCATCTATATTCTTCATTGCAAATGGCCGGATCGACCTGTTGGGGTTCCCTTGCAAGCTGATCGAGTGAACGGGGTGGGCCTCGTCACATGCTTCCCTCATTAGCGGACCCCTCTGAGGCGATGAACAGAAGGAATTTGCCACAGAGGTCGCTGGACGAGGAACGCCACTTGGCCCTCAAGGAATTATCTCTTTAGCTCACATACACTACATATCCCTGAGGTGCGGTGGGGGTTTTAGAGATTTGGACTACCTTTCAGAAACTGTCACTGAAGGAACACGTTGTAAAGCCAGAGTTATGAGTTACGTCGTTTTACTTCGTTCGTTGCAGTTAAAGGCTGAGCCTGAAAGAAGACTGATGAGCCTCTTGCAGGTGCATACTCCCTTATCGTCAACGCAATCTATTTCACGGCTGAATGGGATTCAAAATTCTACAAAAGCAGGAATTCAAGGGGAGCATTCCACAGCGCCGAAGGAAGGGAAAGAGAGGTTGGTCGAGAGTGAGTTCACAACTCCCGACGTAGTCCCAGACAGAGTAGTCATAGTCTCAGACAATGTTAAGCACTGCCCTTGGCTTTCGTTCTAGTACAGGCAAGCTTCATCCTGGAAACAGTTCCTGCGTTTAGTCGTCATGGATAGTTGTTGTTCAGTCCCTCTAAAATCTGTAGCTGATAAGTGATCCCAAAGAGGGAAAAAGCATAGAGAGTCTCCAGGTACACCACAAACAATATCGCTTCGTGACATTCACACTGCCCTGCGGCCTTTGTGGAACCTCTGGTTCATAAATCGCTTTTTCGCTTCTCCCAGTGCTAATTATCATTAGAAGAGAAGACGAAAAACAACAAAAGCAAGACGCAAGACTCACCACAGGAAGAAAGTTTCGAATCTCTAGGTATGAGTTTAACTACGGTAGCAATGCACATGAAGCTTTTGCACCAAAAATCTGCATCACTGGTGATTTTAACAAGCCCTACTTGCGTCATGGATTGCTGTTGACCTGATGAAGAAAATTAAACAAATGAGATCGAGCACGAGCGCGGTCTGCGAAAATGGACGTGCGAGCCCAATTTATGCCCGCCGGCAAAACAAACAACAGCTGAGCGCCCCTGCGTCAGGTGTGGAGGGGACGTTCGTTGGATGGTCTGTCTGACTGAGGAGGGTATTAGAACTAGACGTTCCGGTGGCCGTAGCACCCCCTCGCTCACAGTAGAGTCGCTAGAGTGGTACAGTCTTTTAGCTTGGGAGCTGGACTACCTTTACAAGGGAGGGCGACCACGAATCACTCGAACGCGGGGACAGACAGTCTAAGAGAAAATTGGTTCTATTATTAAAATTGAAATCAAAAATCAAACTAAATTGAAACATCAAAACTTTCTCGTCGAGCTAATATGGTAGAACCTCTCAACACGAGGAAAAGCCATGGGTCGTACGTCGATGAAGAGCAGCCAAGTGCAAGATGTTCCCCACCCCGTCGCCGAACTACCCTCAAGTCCGACGAAATATTGTGTCTTATAGCTCTTTCTACCATCCCTTATGAGCACGGAAAATCCGCTTTCTTCAGGTAGAATACATGAATGATTACAAAGTGTACCAACTCTACGCTGAAGACGATGAGCTCCAGTTGCTTTCACTTCAGTATGCGGACAGGTCGTTCGCATTCAACATCTTCTTACCCAAAACGCGGTAAGGTAGCACCTCTGTGAGCAAATCCTATAAGAAACCTATTCGATATTAAGCCCAGTGTTAAAACGTTTGAATTTATATTTGTTGCTGAACTTTCACAGATTTTTGGCTTTATTCTTGGACTCGGTTCTTCTCAGTTTCCATTGATTTCAGTCCTTTCTCAGAACTGAATTGTAGTCAGTGAATGGAATCGCAGTCTAGAACGTTGGGGAAAGGCCGCTCGTGCTTCTGCTGCTCAACTAGTTCCGATTTACAGGTTTCTCCGGTGAATACCGTGCGAACACCACGGCTTGCTGCGGTTTCACAAGAGTTCACAGATATCAGCGGAATGAGACTTGTAAACCGGAAATTGGGAGCAGCGTAAGTACGAAATGCCCCCCCCCCGCTCCGTGACCGAACTGCACTTACAACTATTCGGTTAATCTCCGGCATACGTTCAGATTTGGTCTTGATGAAGTCCGATCAAAACTCACCGGAGAGAAAATTCAACAGTTGCTCTCAAAACTGGAAACAACGTATATCTCGGTATTGCGAGTTTTTGCTTCTTTTCATGAAGAATTTGTGAGCGACCTTCAGATATGAGATTTGGAGGGGTTCAAATGAATCGAAATCCACATGAAATCTTTTTTAAGATCACAATCCCCAAGATGAAAATCGAGACGGACTTTAAACTCAAAGAAGCGCTAATGGCCATGGGAGTGACTAATATATTCTCTGACAAGGCTGATTTGACTGGAATCGCCGAGAAACCTCCACTCAAAGTTTCACGTGCTGCTCATAGAGCCATCATTGAGGTGAGTTCGTTTTCTTCATTTGAAAAAGGAAGAAGCCTCCAGTGCTCTTGCTCTTTATTCAGAACTTTATTTTAGGTATATGAAGAAGGAACAACCGCGGCGGCTGCTACGCTCTTCAAGAGTACACGAAGGAAACTCATTTTGAAAAGACCGCTGAGTTTCCGAGCCGATCATCCGTTTCTGTTCATCCTTACCAAGGATAAAAATCCTTTGTTCATGGGTCAATTTGTGTGAAGAGCTGATTGACTTACTGTGTTTAATGAATGGTTTATTGGACTGCGAGAATCACTGATAATCACTATGGGCACACCGCTCGGTGGATGCACCAAATGGTGCTCAGCCACTATGTAACATCCACTTAATTCTTGTACTCGATCGTAACATTTTGTAGCTTTACAAGAGTTCGTCTCACCAAAATGACAAGTGCTAATTAACGTGACCGGCCAAAGGAACTATCAAAAGTGCAAATGCATTCCAAGCCGAAAGGTGCCAACAAAAGGATATTGGGACGTACAAAGTACACCGCCGTGAGGGAATCCCATTGAGGAAGTGAGAGGGCTCTGTGATCGCTGAGGGAAGGGGTCGCAAGCTCAGGGGAGGCGAGCACGGAACTGCGCAATTCCACTCTGAGGGGGTGACAGTTTGCTAGGGCATCCTGCTCTGAAGTATCTCAATCTGAACGACCCGCCTTCCTCACCCCATCTACCATTTCCTCAAGTTTCCCCAACTTCCTTCCACTTTCCAGTATTTTCTTTCAAATATCTAAACATTTTCCTCAAAGAACTGTGGCAGGAGAAATGAGAAGAAAGGAATAAGCAATCGTTTCTTTCTCCCCGAACGCGAATAATACATCTCTCCTTTCGAATACGTTTCCCTCCCCTCGACGGGAGTGCGCAGGGTACGGTGTGCTCTGCTCAATGAAGACTGCTGCTCTTTTGACCATGGCTAGGAGTACATCGTCTCACATGACCTTCCTATTGTTGAAGTGACTGCACAACTCGAATATCTCTGCGATTCCTTGTAGAAGTAGAATGCGTGGAGAACACTGATATCAGATCAATCGATAACAAGCGAACTCAATCTTGCTTTAGTTTCGCTATATTCGTATTACGCGGGGGAGGAGCAGTTTGATTTGGTGAGGGTCAGCTAAGCCTGTACAAGCCACCTTGCAAAGACCTGTTTGGTCCTATGACAAAAGTGGCTCCACCTGTTCATTTCGCAGCTTCACAGGAGTTCAGGAGGTCTCACCAAAGTCGTACATGTTAGACAACAACCAACAAGAGGATTAACGGAGTGCGAAAATGCTCCTCTAGGACGAAGAGCGCCGCGTGGGATTCTCTGCTATGTGTTCAGATCACATCACCGGGAGACGGTAAATAGGATCGCAATTCGCCGCACCTCCACGCGCGGCGATGGGCGCGGCGTTTTCATAACTCGTTCCTGTCTTGAAGCACCGGACTTCATGTAGACCCCGTCATCGTAGACACTCATTACTGTTTTCGGTCCTTAATTGCATGTTGTCGCCATCTACTGCCTGAAACCATCGTCCTTTGCGGGCGGGACGTCGCACGCGACGCCCAGCAGCGCGGCAAATTACGATCCTCTGAACTCGAAACTTACCTGAACTTCTGAGGAAAACTTCAGTTCGAAAAAACTCCCACCAGGACTTCTTGAGAGGCATAATATTATACTATCGATTAAAATTGAAAGGAGACTGAAAGTTTATAAGAGCTCAGATCGGGAGGGGTATTATTGCACTTCTGTCACGTAGTTCCGTCATATAACAGTCCCACTTTAGTCCCACTTCACCACTCGTATTGATAGCCTCCCTTTCTTTGAGGAGAGGGGGGTCGTACCTACACCAAGCTCACAAATCACGATGCTGTACCCTGTCCACCAATGTTTGCTCTACTTCAGTGGATGATTTCACCGTTTGTAAGAGAGGGGTTTGTGAGGAAAAGAAATTTTCCAGGTAGAAAGTCGTAGTTGTGAACGCGACCAACTACATACGAGTACCACCTGTTCCACCTTTCGAGGCGATGAGGCTAATAATTCGAGCGCAATTTAATGTTTACTTTAGCGAACTTGCAAAGCCGTTTTGATCCCACTTTGATTAGCACCAAGTGTCCAACGCAGCCAAAGTTTTCGAGGCAAGGGTAACAGAAAGATAATCAGGCCCATCCTTAGGCTGAAGTCCGCACAGTGACATGCGAAACACACCCGCTTTCCACCCAAACAAAGGGAATTCTCGGCGTAGTTCCAACGTCCGTGCTGGTGTTTTTAACGCACCAGCGACGGACTTACAATTTGAAGCGCACTTTCTTAGAATACGCCTCAAACTGTAAGTCCGTCGCTAGCGGTAGCGTGGCGTGGTGGTAATATCGAAGTTACCCACCTGTCACCTAGGGGCGATGTCAGTCAGAGAGGCTAGATTGGGAGCAAGTTAGTGTAGCGGGTGGCCTGAGTCTTCTCTGAGAACCGATAATGCCCCCCACCAATTTGAAGTGCGCCATTCTTCCTGTGTTGAGACTGATGTAGTCGAGCTTTTGAGTGGCTACGAGTGTTGTGAATTTCGCAATTCAAGCACATCTCACATTTGACTGATGCTTTTGCTCGCATTGATGGCGTTAGGAGAAAAATATGGTCGTTTGGTGCATTAAGAGCAGCATATGTTTTCCGAATTCTCCATCTAAAAGCCATAAGTGATCTCGAGAATCGCTAAAGATTCTGCGAAAATGCAGCACTATCATGGAACAATAAACCAAGATTTTTTACGATGCCGCTTCCGCATTTCCAAATGCCTTGCTTCTAGAGATGTTATAGCTCTTGAACTGAGGGGTTGCATATTCAGGCCGCTTCGAAAAATAAACTACTCTACCGTAGGGTTGAACTTCAATGGCTAGTGGAGGAATGGATGGATGTCGCTTTGGGGACTGTGGTACGAAACCCGTGAGATATTTTCGTGAGCAGCTTTCTGGTGCGAGTCACCATGAACCAGCGATGACTCATAATGCGCCAAGAACCAACTTTTTGCTCGGCAAAATACTTCGTAAAAGAATGTTGCTTATTATTGCAGCTGCACATCACGGAAAGTTGCCGTTGGCCGCATTCGCCAATCAGATTGCGCGAAACTTTGGAAGCGACGAATCGCCGCGCAGAGTTGCCGCAAGCAGAGAACGTTGAATATGCGCGGGGGCCTTCCTGGTACTAGATGCAGTGTACGAGCGCGTAGAATAGGGCCCGCTCCGCTGCGTTTTCTACCAGCAGTGATCGGTTAAGCGTTTCAATTCAGGTGGAAAACAGCGAATTATAGAAAATACAGCGGCATGGCTAATTCCATGCCTTCTGGAACTGCCGGCTGGATCGCGGCGAAATAAACTCAGGGCTTCGACGAGCACATTCGATTTGTATCCCATCAAGAATTATTCACATTTCTGCCAGCTTCTGATCATAAATGTTAGGCTGACGTCTTTGATAGCAGAACGACGGATAGAGATAGTTTATGCTTCGCTTGAACAATGGTTCCATGTAAAATCATCGTGTTCTTGTTTAATCGCTGTTATTGCAATTTTATATTCTCTGTCAAGCGCTGTTTTACGCAGTAGATGTGAATAAAAACGCACAGTCAAGGCTGTTCTTCACATTGTGCGGAAAGCTGGACAGCAGAGCCGGTGAAGCTGCACCACTCCTATTTTCTACATTCCTGCTTTCCTTGTTACCGTTGTTATAGCTGTCAGAACATTACCACGCTTAAAATTCCAGTGATAAGTGCCTTGATTGTAGCTTTTCTCGTGGTCAGCTGTCTCCTTCAACATTATTAGGGCACGGTGGCAGGGGCAGTTCGGCGACGTGGGGGAGGGGAGGGGGAAAGGGGACATTTTGCACTTTTGCTAATCCTCTTCGACATGTCAACCCATCTAGAGAGCCTGTCTTGAGCTAGTTTTACAATGAGGCTCCACGATTACTTCAGCTTCACAGGAGTTCACATGTTTCACCAGAGTGAGACGTGCAAACCGGAACTAGTGGAGCTAAAAGTGCCATATGCCCCCTCCCCTGCCGAAGTGCGTCGAACTGCGCCCGGTGAAAAGAACGGTTGAGGAAAACTAGATTTTTCAACAAAGTAATGCTCTCGAACGAGTCTATTTTGTTTATGAAGGATAACAACACACACAGTTCGGTGTAGTGGCATTGCACTTGTCCGTGTCGATCACGACACAACATCCGTTGTGAGAAACACAGCGGAAGGGGTCGTGATTCCGCCGCTGCAGGAGAGGGAGGGGGGCCACAAATGCCTTCGAGTAAATGTTGGTCAATTGAATTTCCCTTGAGATGCTATACAGTCACTAAATCCTGAAATAGTTGAGGTGAGCGGAAAGGACTTCCCACACTACACTGTCAAACTTTAGGATAATAAGCTGTGAAGGGAGAAAAATGTTCGAGCAGGGTAAGGACGCATTTATTCAAGACCTTACACAATGCCATGCTGAAACCTGCTGCCTGATTAAGGCTGCATTCATACCTTGCAGCAGTGTCCATCAGCGTCTACCAGCGTCCACTACTGCTTCGAGCGTCCGCCAGCGTCTATCAGCGTCCACTACGGCTTCGAGCGTCCGGCAGCGTCATGGATTGGGGGAGGGGGATGTGTGGATATGATCTCGCTTCCGGGAGAGGAGAGTATGGCGCGATAGGAAGGTAGCAGACGGTTCGTCTCCTGCTATCTCCCGATGATCTACCAGCAGTCTGCTACCCTTCTACCGCGCCATACGCTTTTCTCGCGAACGCTTTCAGATGCTAGTGTACCATCGCACCGCTGGTGGACGCTGGAAGACGCTGGTGAACCCTGCAGCAAAGCACGAACACAGCCTCAGAGACCTGCCCCCTTGTATAGCTATGAAGCAGCATATGATTTGCCTACTATAGTGTGTAGAAGTCACCAAGGTGGGACGCGTATATCGACAGGGGTTACTAAAACAACCTAGCGAAAGTGCAACATGTCACCTACCCCTGCCCCCTGACGGTAAGTGTAACAGCGCCAAGAGTAGGTCTACTGACGTTCACCAATTCCTTCCTGGAGCCTGCCACGCATCCCACTTCCGAAATGTGCCACCCATGCCGCATCACATTTTACATCGTAATGGCTTTTTAAAAAAATTTTTTTGGAAAGAAGTTCACTCACACAACGAATTGTGGGGCCACCCCATGTAACCGCTAACGCCGGAACTTTGGAACGCTTGATTTGGTTCAGAAGGAGCCTAGACGATACTTGATCCCCGGGTCATCTGCTCTGTAAATTATTGCCCCATCATCTTCAGCTTCATGCCACAACTGATTATTGACTACTTCTTGTCGCATCCTGACACCTCCACAACTAGCTGTCTTGCCTGCTCTCCAACCTTCACTTCATCACACAGCCCCAGCTCTTTAGGATCACCACTGTTCTCTAGCGAAAAGCAGGAAGTCCACAATTTAACTAGTGTTTTCCACAATTTAACTAGTGTTTGTCTCACAAAGACCTTGCTGTTAAGGATGTATTTAACGGCCGAAACGGATTTCGGGCTCAATATGCTCCGGAATGGGCCCGTCAACGACTCGCTAGTCGTGTCGCCAATCTCCGTGA